ATCGTTTACCATCTTCGTATTTCTCGATAATATCTTTATTGAATAATTGTTCATTTGTTCATAATTTATGATTTGTTGTCATTGATTATGAAACTTTGTTTGAATTATTATCAAAAAATATAGGTTATTATCTTATTGCTCATGATTTTTTATTTTATTAATTTAGGTATTTGATTATCTATGACAAGTTAAAAGTAAAAAAATTTTTTGCTGACTGTGTTTAATCTATTTTGGGCAAATGATTATATTTTTTCTGTTACTAATCTGTAATACTATATTATTGATATACGGTTGTATATCAATGATAAAAAAATTTATGTTTGATTGTCTTATTATGTTGATCTGCAATGGCATGTGAGTGATGTACTATTGTACATCATTGAGATATATTTGTAGCTCCATTCACCCGCCGACATGCTCCATTCCATCAAGTACTATTGATTTCTCTTGCTGCACATTTGTCTCTCGCCATTGCTCACACTGCTCTCCTCTCTTCCATCTTTGAGTCTTCAAGTATTTGCAAAAGCCAAAGCATTATAATTTTAAGAGTGTAGTTTTATTTTAAGAGGGTAGTCTTGTCATATGAATCTCAATTAAATATTAAACTAGCCATTATTCAAATTTAAGAAAGGTTGAGCTATTATTTTTATTTGATATTGTGATATGGGCTAAATTTGCTAAACTCCCTTTAAAGAAAATATATATATATATATATATATAGAATCGCAAGCTTATGTTTGGTGACACCACGTGTCCTTCATTTTCTTTTGCTTTTTCTTAAAAAAAAAAAACTAAACTAAACTAAACTACCTCTTTCCCATGTACCCCCTATCAGTTATGAATTCACGGTTTATTGTTTATTACCCCTCTCTCACATATCTCTTTACTATCCGAACTTGATTTCAAGATTATAATAATTGAAAGAATAATAATTGTTATAAAAAAATTAATATTTAGAACCACTTTTATAATTAAAAAAATCACTCACGTATCTCTTCACTATCCCAACTTAATTTTAAAATTATAATGATTAAAACACTAATATTCTAACACAAAAATAATATTAAAAAAATTATTTTTTGCTTTAAAAATAATAAGAAAACTTTTAATTTAATTAATATTAAGCAAATTATCTGTCCCTTCACTGCTTGTCTTGCAAAAATGGAAATAAAATTTTTTCCTAAACATTAAGAGTTTAGTTTAATTACAATAATGATAGATAGTATGTTAATCATAACTTACAAGCATTGAACATTCTAAATACAAAGGAATCAAACAAATAAGCATTGGACATTCTAAATACAAAGGAATCAAGCTACTTAACTTCTACATACTTAAAAACACTAACATTAGATTGAGAAAAGGAGTATCAGTTGCAACATGCATATGTAACATAGTAGTTAGGCATCCAACCTAGCCTCCTCTTAATTCTACTAAATCGCCTACATATCATCACACATCTTGCAGCATGACTAACTTTGTTTGGATCGTCATCTACAAGTGTCACATCATTATGTGTTGCAGCAGAAGCTGTGATAAATGACAAATCTCTATGACTCTAAGTTTGGATTATGCCTTTCTTCTCCATTTCAAGAGGATCGTCATTTTCATTTTGCAATGACTCATCAACAGTCATAAGAGATTCCAGAGGAGGGCACCACCACAAAACTGCAGCTTGTGAGTATGCTACAGCAGCCATGTTAACTTTGTGGAAGAACTCTGTCATTTGATAGTCTGAGACGTTCATTGTGAAGCATGGAGATGCAATCTCTCACACTAGACCCAGAAATGGAAATTTGATTTCATGTGCTTTGTAACTGCTCAATATGATTGTTTATTTGTGTAATTAGAATTTTAAAACTAAAAGTAAAAAAAAGATTATGGGAAGTTATATATGATGATAGGAGAGTGGGAGAAAAATGAGGAAAAATAAGAATTAAAATAACTCATTTTAACTTTAAATATATTTTAGATGACTCATTTTTTAATATTTAAGAATATTTGATAGAAAATCTAATGTGCATGCTGAAATTATATATCTTTGGTAGTGAAAAAGTTGAGAAGTTATGATAATGGATAAAATCATGGGAGAGAAAATTTAGGAATAAAAGGAAATGGTTTCTAAAATTTAAAGATAATATTGTTATAATCTATAAAAAAATTTGGTAGTATGTAAAAAATTATTTTTAAAAATTAATGTTGACATGGATAACTTATAATGGCAAAATTTTAAAAAATTCATACATGTCAAGTCTAGAAGATGGCCTCCAATTCTACTTTTGCATATTGATATATAGATTTACCTAATTTAAAATATTATTATATTATTCATCATAATAAATAATATATTATTTATCATTCTTATTTCTATCTTGCCATGAACTATTGGTTTTTAAAAATTAAATGTTTAATAATAGAAATAAGATTATGGGGAGTTAAAATACAAAGAGAGTGGGAGAGATAATGAGAGAAGAATGAGGAAATTTTGATGCTTAATTTCTTAATTACACTATACCTCATCATGTATGTTAATGGTGTTTGTTCTCATGAATTAATAACACATTACTTTGAATATGAAGCAACAACACCATTTCCTACTTACTAATCTCTTATCTTCTACATGTGTATGTTACTTGCTCCAAGATGTCCTCCACTTGCTCTTTAAAATCAGTAGCACCTGGGAGTTTTTGCAGATTGAATTGAAGATGCAAATTTTTAAAGCTTATTATCAAGTGACAAGCATGGACTAAACATCTCATTTGAGAAAAATGAGCATGCACTTGCCACCACTAATATTTCTAGCAATGCTAAAAGAAAATTTATATGGAGCTAGTGGGTTAGCAATGTGTTTCTATGTTTTCATGTTCTAGTGTTTCTACTAATATTTTTTTGTTTCTAGGAATTTAGAGTTAAAGTTTAAGATTCTTTTGCTTTTTACCAACAAAGTTTAGGATTCAAACATTTTCTTTGTCCATGGTTCGTTACTAGCATGTGTAAACAATATTTCTTATTATAACATATTTATAATGATGTTCTTCCCTACTTTGTGCCAACCATTTTCATGTCATACAATGGTTATGGGAAAATTGATTTGCCCATATTTTTTTAAATTGTAAGCTATTTCATGGGTTAAAATATGGGACAGCACATTTCGCTTTTAAGCATAAATAAAGTTAGGACTCCTTCTCTTGAAAAAGTTATTTATATTATTTGATAAGTTTTAAATGCTAGAGTTTCCTCACTCTTATGTAGATTATACTAAAAATAATTAGTGAGAGTAAAATAACATCAAAGAACATACAACAATAGAAGCATGTTTGTAATATATATATATATATATATATAAAGTTGTTTAGATATTAACAAAAAAAGTTACCTTTACTTAATAACATTTTAGATTTTTAATTTTTTAATTATTATTTTTTTCACATCCCATGCAATACACGGGCCACATACTAATTGGTTTAAAAAACAAAAGTACCATTTCTTCTAACTAATCATAGAATTTTTTTTGGAGGAACTAATCATAGATTTTGTTATTAAGAGGGGCAAATGAAAAAGAAAAAGAAAGAAGACAAAGGAATTGCCAAGCCAGTTAAAAGCTGGTCACCATCCATTAAATTATAAGTGTGATAGAATTAAAATTTCTCAAAACGTTTATGTGACTATATGGAATACTGCCCCAGTCCATATCATTTGACAAAAATAGAGAAAAAAATGCTTGTGCCAATCATTTTCAATCTCAAGTCAGATACTCTTTCAATTGCCTTCACAAGAAAACTTGAGATTTATGTTGCATGTTCACTTCATTAAGAAATACCTCTAATAATAAATAAATAAATAATTCCAATTAGTTCAAGTTGGGGGAAAAGTAAATGAGTAAATTGGCTCATAAGTTATAAGTGTAAGAAACATTTAAGACACTAAACTCATATTTTGTACAATATTTTCTTTCAATTTTTTAAAAATAATACCAGTATGACCATTGCTGTTAATAAAAATTATTTTTTAATCGTTAATTGATGAGAAAATGACATTAAAATTACAAAAAAAAACCCAAAATCATAATAAAGGACCAAAGCAGTTACAAAAAATAATCAAGATTTTTTTGATAATTTTTGAGTTTTTTTTTTGTCATTTTCTAATTAGCTAACGATTAATATTAATTTTTATTAATGACAAGTTTCAGATTGCACCATTTTTAAAAGTTAAAAAAAATATTATATAAAAAATAAGTTTAAAATTATAGACCATTCTAAACTTATAGTTTTGGAGTCAATTTGTTTATTAAAAAAAAAAAACCTATCCATTCAAGATTTCACCGAGTATAATGGAAGTTTCTAGTTTTACAGATGAAACACTAATAGCAAGATAAATGGTCAATTTCTTGTTAAAGATCAATTGTACTAGGAAAGCTTCCATTTCCCAATACCATAAAACAACCCACAACCTATTTTTTATGCAAACATATCACCTATTTTTATACTTTATGTATAGTTAAATGATTTTTAGAAATCTAAATTTTAAAATTGGGTTTTCCAGTCATTAAATAAATATTAATATTGTAATTACAGTTTTGGGTTTTAAGTTTTAATTTTAAATAAAAAATACTACATATTTTATAATTAATCTTAAATATTATGATTTATCAAATGATAAATTTAATAAGTAAAAATAAATCATTTGTTGCTATTAATTTACTATTTATTATTAATATGATATAACCATAAAGCTAAATTATATATCATGATTTTTATTTGGAATGTCGTCATTTTTAGCATTTTATTGAAGTTGTATTCTTAAATATATTAACACTACATTTTAAAAAAAACTGAATATTCTCATACAGTATAAAATAATTTTCAGATAACTATTCGAAATTTTAAAAAAATTATGCAGTGAATGAGGGTTTTTTTTTTTTTTTTTTGGGCCCGTCTAGTGAATGCGTATTTAATGGAGATATAGATAGATTTCTGTACCTCCCTATTAATGAACAAAAAATAGGAAAGCGAGACACGGAGCTTCAGGTGCTCAAGAGTCCAGAAAACAAGTTTCAACGAAGCTCCATGTGCTGAATGAATCTGCAGCTGAGTTCGGTGACGCGTTTTCTCTCTCTCTAATGATAAGTTTGTGAATCTCATTCCTGGCACAATCAGACTAGCATTATCAGAGTCAAAAGTTCCCCAGAGATTTAGTCTGAGTTTCTTCGTTTGTTTGGAACTTTGATTTCTTGGCGGAATTCGTGGGCCGATTTTTGTTTCTCGAATTCTCTCCATCGGCAATTTAGTGGTTTCACTCGCACGGAGAATCCACAGGTAAGAGATTGATCTCGCTGTAAGTCGCTAAAACTCACCACAGGTTTTGCTTTTCATTCCTTGGATGATCCCAACGGGTTTTTTGTGATATTTTCCTTCTCGAGACATATCGATTTGGCGGAAAACTAAGGGTTTTTCTGAATGTATGCAATTTTGGGAGTTTTATTTTTTATTTTTATGCTTTGTTAAACTTTTCAAAACATAAGGCAGCGAAAGCCATTTTTGAGTGTGAACTTCTGCGCATTCTTTTATCATTTAAGGCATTGCTCTCGTAATTCCTGATCATCTTTTTATCCTACGTGATTTTTATTTCTTGAAATTCTGTAGGATTGATGGTCATAAGGTTTCTATATTTCTGAAGGATCTCATGCTTCACATTTCAACATAGAACACGCTGGATTTCAAGAAAACCATGACTTGGGCTTCGCCCAAAGATTCTCCGAGGATGTCTTCCCATTTTAGCTCCCATCCAAGGCCTCTCTCTTGGATTGTTATTTCAGTAGGATTACTGGCATTATTCTTAATTTTTGCTTCCATGGTTCTTGCATCATACCCAATTGGAGTCGCGGTTCGCGGATACTTCTACGGTGTAAATAGTTCGGAAAGCTTAGATTCATCCGATTCTTCTTCCTTGAAATCTGCTATTGATGTTCACTTGGACAATACGTCAGATCTAGTCGATAGAAAAGTATTACCTGATCTACATTCTCCCACGAATTTGGCTAGCCCATCTAGTGGTAGCACCGTAGAACGCATAGATACTAACTCAGATTCCCAAGTCCCCTTCAATGAATCTACTTCAACAAAATTTCCAAAAACCGAGGAGGTGAAAGGGCCAGAAACTTCTGATGCACAATCACCTGTGATGACGTCTGAGAACAGTCCAGATGTGGTTAATAGTGGCTTGCCCATTCAGCACAATTCATCTAATGTGATGGTAAATAATACAGTCAATGAACCTGCTTCTGTGGTTTCGATGAATAAATCCACTGATATAATAAGTACAACATTAAATGAGACCTCGCAGTATCCTTCTGATTCCTCATCAACAGTAGTTCCAGCATCAGTTGATGCAGCATATAATGCATCGTATGATTCAGGTTATTTTTCTTGTCTTTTAAGCTCCACAAGTTTGTTATCAACTTATCATTTTATCTGGCGTTCTTTTTTGTATTCCACAAAGGCCTGAAATAGTTTCATCATATTACTGTTTAATGCATATCTCGCATGTATGTGACTTGTAGTTTTAATTGGGTTTAAATGGTGGCTATTCACTGTACGTTCAATCAACTTTTAACAAGAAACTACCCAGAGCATGGAATTTGCTCTCATTTAATTTCATGCATATAAAAAATCCAGACTCACACAAGAGCAATAGCCTGGTGAATTTGTACCATACTTCCACTGACATACATTCTGGAATTTCACATGTTGAGGGTTTGGTCCTGATTATTCTTGTGTTTATTCTCAATTATCTGCCATGTAGAAATGAATTTAGAAGCATGAATTAATAAGAATGGTGAACAAGGATATGACTGTAGTGGTGTTGCTAGCACATGGTTCTCTGTATCTAGGAGAGCTTGATATAAAATTTCTGTAGCTATACCAAGTCAGGATGACTTCAGTTTTAGAATTTAATGCTGGGCATTTTACACTATCAAGGGAGCCAGCAGATATGTGAAAATGGTTATATTTCCATTGGTTTGGGGTGGTAAGCATTGCGTGATCATGCCATGGGTTGGGACTTTAGTTTTTTCCTCCAAAATAGACTAACATGGTTTGGATTTGGGGTCAAGTGTCTGTTTCATTGCCCTAGACGTATGGTGGTTATCGTGGTTTCTTTTAGAAATAGTCTCCATCCAGGTTTAGATCAGACTTTTGGATCTGGATTATTCACCCACCTTGTAAATGTTTCTACTTTCTCTTTTGGTCTGTTTATAATTCTCATTTTCCTTTGCTGGTGCATTGTGGAAGGCCAGGGTTCCTTCTGAGGTCAAGACTATTTTGATTTCCATATGCATAGAATTGGTACAGTGTTAGAGGTGCGGAGGCCTGATTAAATTTCATGTCTTAGTCATTTGTTTTGCATAGTCTGTAGCATGGTCATGTTGAATATGCAGTCATGCATCTTTTATGCATGCAGTTGCTTACAGTGTCTGGCTGCCAAATTAGAACATACATCCAGAAAAATCTGTAATCTTGATGCCATTGTGGAGCTAATGCTATTTCTAGATGGATTTTGTTGCTCCAATAATCTCATAAGGACTGTGACTGAGCTCATGATTGATAAATTTTGGTAGTTCATTGTTTGTTTCCTAATTCAGGCAGATATCATACGCTGTTTTTTTTTTTAAGTTCTTTATCTCTTTTTCTTCAGTTTCGGTGAAAAGTGGAGTAGGTTATTAGACAGTGTTTATAAATTGAAGTACTGAAGTGAATACTGGCGCATGACCCAAAAAAAAATATAAATATCAGAAAATAAGTTAAATTACTAAAATCAAGTTCATGTTTTTTATTTTCCAGCCTGTGATTGAGTTAGTAGTAGAATGGGCATGCTTATTCAGTGTAGTCCTTGTAAGTTAGGTAATTTTCTGAGACCCAAGACTCTTTCACAATGACAGTGTAGTTATGAAGAATTGCACGCAAGTTCTCATCACAATCATGATATAATTAAAATTATGAACTTTAGTTTTATTATTAGAGCTAAAATGTTCAATTAAAACTAGTCTAGCTGTATGTATCATGCAGGAAAAGTATTGAAACATACTATAGTACATTTAAAGGGGGGGCATCAGTACCAAAACTCGTTACATCTCAGTGTGGGTAACTTTATGTGTCCTAAGAATCGCTTGTAGACTGTGGTTATGTCATTTTCTTTTAAAATGTATTGACTTCTTTTGATCTACACTTGTGACTTTGGTGTTTTAAACTTGTTTGTTCATCTATTATGTAGGCTGTGATCTGTACCATGGAACTTGGATACATGACCCATTAGGACCATTATACACAAACAATACATGCCCTGTATTGACACAGATGCAGAACTGCCAGGGTAATGGGAGGCCTGATAAGGATTATGAGAATTGGAGATGGAAGCCCATCCAGTGTGACCTCCCAAGGTTTGATCCCAAGAAATTTTTGGAACTTATGAGAGGGAAGACTTTGGCTTTCATTGGAGATTCAGTGGCTCGAAATCAGATGGAATCAATGCTTTGTATTCTCTGGCAGGTTATTTTCTTGGTTCCTTGATCTAATTTGCTTCAACAAATGAAATGATCTTTCAAGATGCCAGTAAGCAGAAAGCACTTGACTATGAGTGTTTATGTTCTACAAATGCGGTGTGTAGGTGTCTATTTTTAAAAGTTAGTTTCTTAACTGAAAATTTTAGTATTTTTCAGGTTGAGGCACCTAAAAATCGAGGGAATCGTCAGATGCAGCGATATTATTTCAAATCTACATCTGTAATGATTGTTCGGATATGGTCCTCATGGCTTGTCAAACACATGTCTGATCCATTCAATTATGCTCCATCTGGGGTTGACAAGCTCCATCTCGATGCCCCCGATGAGAATTTCATGCAACATATTGCAAATTTTGATGTGGTGGTTCTATCTTCTGGCCATTGGTTTGCCAAGCAGTCTGTGTATATTTTGAACAACGAGATAGTGGGAGGACAGCTGTGGTGGCCAGACAAGTCTCGTCCTATGAAGATAAATAACATAGAAGCATTTGGAATATCTGTTGAGACAATCCTTACTGCCCTTGTAACACATCCAAATTACACAGGGCTCACTATTGTGCGTTCCTATTCACCTGATCATTATGAAGGCGGGGCATGGAATACTGGTGGTTCATGCACTGGGAAGGAAAAGCCTCTTGCACTTGGTGAATTGGTAGAAAATGCTTTTACAAATATAATGCATGAGAAACAGGTTACAGGTTTTAACCGTGCAATAAAAAAGGCTACAAATAAATCAAAGTTGAGATTGATGGATATCACTGAAGCCTTTTCATACCGCCATGATGGTCATCCTGGTCCATACAGGAGCCCAGACCCAAATAAGAAAACAAAACGAGGTCCAGATGGAAGACCCCCACCACAGGATTGCTTGCACTGGTGTATGCCAGGTCCTGTTGATACTTGGAATGAACTTGTGTTTGAAATCATTAGGAGAGAGTATGAAGGGAGCAGCTTATCATAAATTATATGTATTTTCAATCATCAAGCTTGCATGTTGTGCTTAAAGGATAGGGTAATACTAGTCCATTGTTTTCTTTTTTTAAGAAAGTATATTGCAGAGAAGCTAAACCTGTTAAAGGATCGGATGGGAGATATTAGCTTACTCCTCAACTATTGGGGGGGGGGGGTTTGAAGATGAAGTTGGTTTATTCTTTACTAATTCATCGGGAACTGAGAAGACCAAGCAATATAAGCTGCCCATTCTGAGGGATAATTATAAAAATCAAAATTTACTGTGGATTTTACATTTTGTTATCCTTGCTAGGTTCTGAAATATGTGTCAGAGAGAGATTGAGATTCTTAAATTTATGTTGTTGCTCGGCGCTCACTCCATCTTCAGTTTATCTTATCATCCTTGGTATTTCATACAATACTGAATGTATAAGAAAATAATTATGAATTCCAATTTTAGCTGACTAGGTGAAAGCATTTTTGCACGAGTTTATTACTACTATCTTCACATGAATCATTGTCATGCAGCTTAGTGTCTCTTTCCTTAAACTGACTGGGATGGCATATTATGTGACGGAAATCTATTATTAACTCGTATAGATGTAACTATGTTGTTTTTTTTTTTTTTAACTTGAGTTGTTAGCAAAGGGGAAGAAAAGTTGTTCTTGCATCAAGTTTATTCCTTTCTTTTGTGATTTTGTGTTTAAAAAATTCATGTTTTGGAGCAAAGATGTCAGAAATGGAGTCACTTTTGATAAGTTTCAATGGATCAAAAATTTCACACTTCCACATATTATTTGCATGCATACCTGTAGAAGAATTTTGTTAGATTTGCTTATTTTAATTCTGAGGCCGATTGTGGTATTTTAAGCTTGTGTATTCTTTTAGTCATATGCTGTCGAATGCTATGAGAACTATCTATCTCTGGTGCGTGTTTGAAAAGTTAATCCTGAAATTGACAAAGACTTTGGTGACTAACCGACTATTTTCCATTTTCAATTATTCATTTCCACTTTATAGACTTTGGTGAAAGTATTTGCTTCTTTTATGCTTTATCGGAAGTTCTTGTTCTTGGCCATGATAATGCCTAATGCTCATTTATATTGGTAGGTCAGACTACCAATTTCCCCCAATAATATTAAAATTGTCACTTACTTTTCTCATTATTTATATCTTTGAACTTTCTCTTTTTGGGTATGGATTGTTGTAGCCTGCCTGTGAGGGGGCTTCCAGTTCCAGCCTAATCCAGTGAACCCAAATCCGCATGACATGGACATTTTTATGATTCTGTTTGAAGAGGACATTTGAACTTTCTTCAGACTTTTGAATCCTACGTTTGAACCGAGACTTTGTGAGGATTGTGCTATTATTTTTTTGAGAATCCAAAGAAAGTGAATGTGAGATTCTGTTATTATTCTAATTGATTTATGTTCCTCATGGTATGGGAGGAATTAGTGTGGTTGTGGCCTTTTCATTTCCACTTCGAAGACCTTTTATGAGAAACAATTTTTTTTCTTTTGGGCATTGTTTCATAATTCTTTTCCTATGAATCCTTAGAAGAATTTGAAGCAAAAGTCTCTGGTTTGTTTGGATTACATGTGTATTTATCCATAGGCATATACATACACACGAACACTAACTAAGAAAAATGAAAAAGTTATATGAAACTCCATTGATCGCAAGTGAATCAGGCGACATTACCTGATAGCTATGTAAATGTAGCATGTTCTAGTTCTTTAAATATACAAAATGCCTATTATCCTAGTGAAAGAAGGGTTTTTAAAACCTGTGGTAATGCATAATGAAACAAAGGAAAAATAGAGAATTATATTGAAGTCCCAATTAAGGGAATCAATTACTATAAAGTTTATTAACAACTGAATGAAAGAAAATAACAATATATTGTGTTATCAATAGTCTTAGTTAATGAACTTTATAATAATTATTTTTTTATATAAGACTTATATGTAATTCTCTCGAAGAAAAATACCACAATAGGTTTCTGTGTGATATTGTGCTTTGTTTCAAGTCCTTATAATTAACGTTTTTCTAGTAGCTTGGAGTGAGCCTGGCCCAAAAATCATGTTTTAGCCCACAGAATATGTTAACACAAGATTAGAACCCAGAACCTCTAGAATTGATAATTAGGCCTGAATAAGTCCCAGCTTACAAAAAATCCCAAATTTATCTAAGCTCGACTCTACTGTCAATCTTATCCAGCCAAAATACTCGAATTATTTTAAACAAATTTCAATTTTTACTTTAAAATTAATTATTTTTATTTTATTTAAAATACAAAATATACTTTTCAGGATATTTTATTAAAAATATAAAATATTATTCTAAGATATTTTATAAATTAAAAATAATAAAAATATAACAATGTAAATATTTTAATTTTTTTTAGAAAATATCGATAATAATATAGTTAAATATTTGGTTTCTTGATATAAAATGAATTAAAACTTAAAAAAATTAATTAATAGTTAATTTATTTTTATATTTTTTAAAATATTTTATTAAGTTTGGCTCAAAATTTGTGTTCGTTTATTCATACCAGCCTGTGAAGCTTTACTTGAATCGTTGTCTTTACTCCCACCCAAGGAATGTGACAATGTCACAACTAGCTAATGGCAAATAAAATAGGAAAATCTCAACAAGGGCCCTCATAAACAAATTAATTACATGTAAGATTCAAAAATTACAACACACCTACGAGCCCAAGAATCTCAATTACAATTAATGTTTTTGTTCTAATTACTAAAATGTGCTTACCTTTTCCTTTTTGAAAGAAGAAAAGTGTCCTATCACCGACATTGAAACCACTGAACTGACCAATTGAGCTCTGGTGCAGGCTGCCACCACCGGTGCCAGACCACCACTGTCAACTACCACAGCTCTAACACTAGCGCAATGTTCAATGATCAATCAAATGTGTCAAGGGAACAATGGTGGATTTAAACCCTTAACTCCTTAGTTTTTTAAAATGAAGAAAAAACACTTTATCGTGCCAAAGGTGAATTTAAACCTTTAGATCCCGTTTGGTATGATGAAATAGTTTTTGATGGAATTAGAATTGAAATTGAAATTAGAATTAGAATCAGAATTGGAATAGAATTGAATTATAAAAGTATGTTTGGTATGTCAGAAAAATTAGATGGAATCCTTGCATTACTTTTGTTTGGTATGCAAGACATGGAAATGGAATTATACTTAAAAGACAAAAATACTCCTATATAAAAATTAAAATAAAACATAATAAAAACTTAATTGTGTACCAATTTTCTTATGTATTTTATATATTAATGAAATATTATATAAATCATAGATTATATCTGTAACTATTATTCACTAGCTTGGGCCAAACAAAAAGTTTTATCATCAGAGGGAACATTTTCTTGAAAATAAAATTGGCAATGGTTCCCATCCCTTCTATTTTAAAATAAATACACTAACATGTAGATTTAAAAGAAAAATGTCAAACAAATCAATTCTACTTCTTATACCAAAAAAATATTATAAATATATAAATTATATACAAATATTATATATAATACTATCTTATATATATTATAACGTTTTATATATAATGAAAAAAAATATCATTCACCCTTTTATACTCCCTTTTTCTTTTTTTTGCGAGCATATGAGGTTTTTTTTTTAGGGCAAATTTGTCTTTTTGGAATTTGTATGAGGGCAAAAGTGTCTTAAATATTACAATTCTATAGAATTGCTCCCAATTCCATAGATTTACATAAGGAATTCAAATCAGCTTTTTTCCATAGAATTAGAATTCCCAAGAATTGTAATTCATATCTACCAAACATCACTTTATTCAGATTCCTATCTCAATTTTATTTCCATCTTCACAATTCTAACCTACCAAACATGGCCTTAACCTTTTAGTTTCTCAAAATAAAAGAAAAACACTTTAGTGTTAGTGTGTTGGGAGGGGGGAAGGGTACACTTTCTCAAGTAATTCTTGATCCAAAATATAAGATATTTTATAATAATTAAATTACTTTTTTTAATTTTATCCTTTCTTGATTAGCGTATAGATACTTAATGTTGTTATATCAATATTTAAAATCAAAAGTAAAAATGAAAGTACATATAATTTTTTTATGATATTAAGAAAAAAAATTAAATTTTTTTAAAATGCATGAAATGATTGAAAATGTCTTATAATAAAAATCAGAAAAAAAGAGAGAGAGAGTTATTTTTTACTTTCAAGTATTTTAATTATTATAGAATATTTTGGACATCTTATTGTGTACACTTGAACAATCACTTATATATATATATATATATATATTTAAACATCACTTAATCTTACATAAAAAAATTATCAATTTTTTAAAACTTGGTTTATTTTATTTTTCACAACTTATTCTTTCAATGCTAACATATTATTGATATTATGCTAAATAAAATGTGTGTGTGTGTGTGTTATAAATTAATTTTCAAAGTATTTTCATGGACTTTTGTAAATCATGGACATCTTGTTGTGTATATCTGAACAATTACTTATAAATATTTAAACATTCCTTATTCATTCATAAAAAAAGTTATCAATGTTTTAAAAGCCAATTTATTTTATTTTTTACAACTTGTTTCTTCAATGTTAACAAGTTATCAAATATTATGTTAAATGAATAAATAAATGTGTGTGTAAGTGTTATAAATTTATTTTTTAAATATTTTCACAGGCTTTCGTTAATGATGGATATTTTGTTGTATATATCAAAATAATCACTTACACATATTCAAATTTCATTTGTTCACACATAAAAAAAGTTATTAATTTTTTAAAACCTAATTTATTCTATATTTCACAACTTTTCAGTATTAACATGTTACTAACGTTATGCCAAATAAAAACTATATATTTTATAAATTTATTTTTCAAGCAGTTTCACGAGCTTTTGTTAATCATGAATATCTTATCAAAACAACCACTTATAAATATTTAAACATAATTTGTTCATACAAAAAAAGTTGTTAATTTTTTAAAAATTAATTTATTTTATTTTTCACAATTCTTTTTTTCCATATTAACAAGTTATCAATATTATATTAAATAAAAAATATATTATAAATTTATTTTTTAAGTATTTTCATAGGCTTTTGTTAATCATGAACATTTTTTTATGTATATTTAAATAAGCACTTGTAAATATTTAAACATCTTATGAAAAAGTTGTCAATTTTTTTAAAATCTAATTACTATTTATAAAATATTTTTTTATTTAGCATAACAATAATATTGATAAAGTATTAACATTGAAGGAATAAGTTGTGAAAAATAAAATAAATTAAGTTTTAAAAAATTGATAATTTTTTTTTTATGTATAAATAAATTATGTTTGAATCTTTATAAATGATTGTTTAAATATACATAAGATATTCAAAATATGCCATAACAAATAAAAATACACGAAAATCAAAGTTATATTATATATATATATATATATAAAATTTTACACTATATATATC